CTTGACAACTTAGAAAACATTTGCAGTACTTTCGGTATCTTAAGGCATTAAAAATATATGATATATATACACACACACACACACACATAATCTAATTTATAATAAGTAGATAAAAAAAAAAGTAAAGCATAAAAATGATAACAAAGTTTGCCTGATAAGTTTGATAGCTATTTTCTAAACCTTGTTAACAATAGTTTTAATAAAAAGTCTTTATTTAATTACATGGTAAAAATTTATGAAAAGAGAACAAATTTAAAGTTCACGGATCTTAACGAAATTTCTATATTGCTATACTAATGGGAATTATTGTAACTTTGAGTATCAATTGGGGAGTATATGAATGCAATTATGTTAAGAGTTGTGAATAAATTTCCGGCTCGGTAAGAAATTCGAATATTCAAGCAAATAACGCTGTTACCATTTTATAATTTTTTTTTTTTGGCAATCGTCGATTCCAAAGGCGGCTTTCACATGTCGCGGAGAAGTTCTTCTAATTTTAGAATGCTTTACATTAAAAAATCCTATAGTTAATGGAAATCACATGCCCCCAACATGAACGTAATACAGCCTAACACAGATAAGAGAGGAAATCATCCTCTGATGTCAACTCCTAAGACCTTTTTTGACAGTAACATTAGTTGTTAACTACAAAACTCTATATTTCTGGCTAACATGTTACATGTTACGGATTGGCCTTCCATTCACGGAATTATTCAGAACTTGGCAAGAATTGCTCGAATATATTTGGTTTAAACATTCGTTTTATTATTGTGCATAGACGCCTAAATAGAGATTCCCCCTTAATGGCTTTTAAGACTTTTATGACATTCATGTTGAAAATATCGGGAGTTTTTACCGCAAAATGTCATTAAGCATTTTGGCATTTATCCGCTTCTTCGTTCGTGTTTCGGCGTCTACACCAACAGTTAAATAGACTTCATAACAATATTGTGCCTGCAATCTTGACCTTAATCTAAACTATTAAAGATTGTACATTTTTTAAATTCTTATTAAATCTAATCAGATATTAGTTTGGGTCAAAAAAAGAAATCCATTATTTTTATATGAACTTCAGGACTTTATTTAACATGCTTCGGATTGTCCGATTTGGGTCAAATATGCACCGTTTTGTTGTACGATTTGTTGCCATTTTAAAGGTAACTTCAAAATGCCTCTCTCATAGAAGTCCTGATCTCTATTTGCAAAAAACTCTAGTAGTCGATTTTCACAATCCTCCCTAGATTCCAATTTTTTATCATTAAAGAAATTTTGCAATGCAAGACAAAGATGATAATCGCTTGGTGCCAAGTCCGGACTGTATAGCGGATGCATTAAAACTTCCCAACCAAGCTCCCGAAGTTTCTGGCGAGTCACTGTAGATGTGTGTGGCCTAGCGTTACCCTGGTGGAACACGACACCTCTCCTGTTGGCCAATTCTGGCCGTTTCTGGTCAATCGCTATCTTCGAACGGTCCAGTTGTTGACAGTAGAGATCAGAATTTAGCGTTGGCCATATGAAAGCAACTCATAATAAATAATCCCCTTCCAGTTCCACCAAATGCATAGCAAAACGTTCCTGACTGTTTGAGGTGCTTCACCGCCCTTTGACCACGATCGTTTTCGCACAGGGTTATCGTATGTGATCCATTTCTCATCTCCAGTCACCATCCGTTTAAGAAATGGGTCTATCTCATTCCGTTTGGCCAAGGCTTCGCAGATGGAAATTCGATCCATCATGTTTTTTTCTGTTAATTGGTGTGGCACCCAAACATCGAGCTTCTTTTTGAGTCCAGCTTTGTGTAAATGGTTTAAAACTGTTTTATGGTCGATTTTTAGCTCCTCGGCGATGTTACGACTGCTAACATGCCAGTGAACTTCGATCATTTCTCCGATTTTATCGACATTTTCGACGACCGGCCTACCTGTGCGAGGTGTATTTTTAACATCAAAAATTCATGAACGGAACCTACGAAACCAAAATTGCACATAATTGGCTATTACAGTATCGGAACCATAAACACCATTCACAATTTTAGCCGTCTGGCTTGCATTTTCGCCTTTGTCAAAGAAAAACTGTAAAATGTACCGAATTTTCTCTTTGTTCACTTCCATTTTTAACACGCTGTAACTCACAACTGCATGCACCAAACAAAAAACAGCAAAAGAATTTTTTTTACTGCGAAATGTCACCTTTCCAACGAGCATATATATGAAATTGTTTGATGGATACTTTACGAGAAATCTATCAGTGCAGCCATCTACCGAAAAAATAATGGATTTCTTTTTCCCCAAACTAATATATTCATTGAAAAAATCTATGGTAGAACAAGTGCATTTTTAAAATCTTCGTTATTGTTAATTTTTAGACTAGAAAGTCGCTGAATTAGAATCAACTATAGGTCTATGACTTTGATTTAATCTTGCTGCTTCGATATTTTCAGTGACAGACCGACACTTGGATAAAGACAAGCTCGCATTTATCGAGCATCTATATGCGTTATGGTATTTTTTTATATTTGCAATTATTACAGTGCTTAGTTTTGGGCGAAAAATTTAATTAAAAAGAAAGCTACCCCCGGCTGTAAATAGTCTTATCGTCAACATTTATCTGAAGCATTTAATGAACGAAATAATGCCACCTAATTTATATCTTGCACGACGTGGTAGTGACATATGCGTTAAGTAATGGTACAAAATTTCCACTATCACAATTTCGAAGTAACAAATTATAAGTAACAAACATGTGCAGAAGCAAATAAGATCAACTTGATCGTATTGATTGGAAAATGAACGTATTAACTGGAAACATATTTGAAAGATGTATCGGAGTTAATTTAGTCTTTTCGAATATAATGAAAATGAATGAAAATGACAGACGGCCAATATTAGTTAGATATAAAAACATTTATATATTATTTCAGCTGTCTTTGCTTTTGCTATAAATATAAACAAATATCTCTAAATAAAAAAGAAATTTAACATTTACTTTGTTTTATTATTTTCTTGTGCTTGGTACTTTGCTCTAAATTCGCATGAATAATGAATTGCGATTCTTAAATATCATGAATAATTTTCGCACATTTTACTTATGTGTATATGTAACGAGAATTATCCAATTTTGAGTAAACATTCATGATTTATAAGAAAAATTTTACTATAGATTGCTAAAAAAATTTTTTGAAAATATTTTGAAGAATTTTTATGCCCATTTTCAGTACATAAATTTATTTCTATAAGAGTTTTTATGAAGTGGTCCAAAATATAGGTAAGCGGAACCTTGACCGTATTTACGAAATGTATACGAAATGATTAACAAGCATGAAATTGAGTAGTGAAAAATGTGTGGAACAATGTTTAATTAAAAGTAATACTTCATATACAAATATTTGCAAGTGACCAAATGGTTTAGATTAAATTTCTTTAGACCATTATGTGTTTGATCTTAAATTTTTCCTAATTAGGATCTTCTTGTTAGTTTTGAAAGCTATGTGAAGCGTTCCCCGTTTGAAAAAAACTTTATATGAAAATAAATTGGAAATGTTTTAGTTCCCACATTAGGGCTTTTTGCAAAGGGAACCCTTCTATGAGCAATGTGTAACTTCTAAAATAGATGAAGAATAATGAATTCTTGCGAAAAGAAACAAATCATTTTGCTATTTTTTCAACAACAACAAAAAAAAAGGAAGAAGAAGAAAAGAAGAAATAGAAATAGATGCACAAGATAGGGTATTTAATGGTGGACTTTGACCAAACGCTTTTACTTATTTTCATATAACTTACATAAGTTTTTTTGTTACTCTTTCAAAAATTGAAATCTATAAGTTCATCGTAAATATCTGTGGGCATATGCATGATAAAGGGACAGTCAGACAAGGTTTAATCAAATCGAATTGATTGGTATAATAAAAAAAGACGACCCTATCATAAGTTCTCTTGGATGCTACACACATCTACTCTGCTCCGTAAGTGATGTATGGTATAAATATACGAAATCGATATATACGATAGGACATATGACACATACCGTAGGAATTGATCTTGGCTTTATCACGGGTTACTTTATTATTAGATTTTTCGGAAAGTCATTTCGTCTTTTTTTACGAAAAATTTTTTTATACTAGATAAATATATTATTATGAACGGTCGAGTTCGATAAATGTAATCAACGAGCCATCTCATGAATTGTCTTTCGACGGTTTGTATCATTTAGCACCTTAAGTTTGTCTTTATCAGCTCCAATTGATCACATTTTCAATATCAGAATTGTCGGAATGAAATTTTGTAAACCAGTTTTGTCGCTAGTGTATTACCAATCCCAATCAATCAGTTAATCTTCTTCATACACGTTCAACAAATTTTTGCTTGGTTGAATATTATTTTTACTTTATCAATAGAAAAGAACTAAAATGTGCCGGATTTTGGTACTACCAACTTTCCATAGCTTATAAAGACTTTCCATAGCTACAAGAACTATTCCGCAGAATTAATCATTTTTTCAATTTTCAAAAGCAAACCTTGCTATACTAGCTCTTAAAATATATAACGAAAAAATCCAATTAAATTCACTGATGGGGACAAAAAACAATGAACTACCTAACAGTAGTGGTAGATATTAAAAAAATTCCGACCAAAACGTCGCGTATATTTCTTTGTTGTTTATAAAATATAGTTCTTTAGTAATTAAACTGAGCTGGCCTGGATGACTTTCGTTTCTTTTATCTAAGGAATAATGCGCGATCATCGAGATAGCTGCAATGTAGCTGTAGTAACTGTAGGGCACTGTATGTATTATAATTGTTATTATTATTATAAAATGAAGGTCGTTTTTTGTGCTTAACGAGTTAAAAAAAAAAAAAAAAAAAAACACTGCCTTATCGCTTCATTTAAGTTTTTCATATAGTATCTCTCTTACATTTATTCCTAATAAGATAATTCACTGAAAGCTTTGCTTTTAATAAAAGAAAAATTTTATGACCTACATAAATAATACTCTACACGCTCTTTCCAGAGTAAATTTTTAGTTGCATTCGTGAATTCAACATCAATGGTTAATAGCAGAAGAAGACAAGCAACAGTTGTAGAAAAACTTGTGCCATCTACAGATATAATAAATTGTGTTTAAAATTCTTTATTTACTCGTTGTTAGGTTTGCTGTTAAAACACAACATTAACAGCGAAAGGAAAGTTTTGTGAAAGTTCATTTCATTTTGAGTTTTTTCTTTCTATTTTTTGATATTCTTTCCTGATAAACCGGTGAAAAAAAGTGCAGTTTTCCATTTTCTTTTTTTAACTTTTAATTTCAAAGTAGAAAAAATTATTAAATAACGACAATATGTTATTCAGCAATAATCACAATAACAATAATGCAGTAATAAAATGTAATTTAAATCATAACATCTGTAATGAATCGGTAAGAAGAAAAACAAAAAGTGTTTATTGATATGTACGCGAATGAGAAAGATGAAGTTTACCTTTGTTTATTGAAAAAAAAACATAACAATTATAATAGTAATAATGAAATCCAAAAAAAATTCATTTCAAATCTTATCAGTCGCGCTACTCATTTTTACTTTTCTTGTTATATTTCATTGTACTATTTTAAATAATATACAACAAAATGCCTAATTAGCCGTTGACTTTTACGTTTACTTAAACGTAAATTCGATTTCTAATTGAGAGGAGTGCACAATGAAAACATAACAAAAAGTAATATTCATCCTCAGTAAGCCAACTGATCACACTATGTAAACATGAATGCTAAATTCTTATCGGTCTTAAATTGCCAATGTAAATTTCTTTTTATTCCTTGGAATTGTGTCAGTCGTAAGAAGAACCTCAAAAAAAAAAAAAAATTTCTGAATTCTTCAAGAGATTTTGAAAGGAGGTCAATCACTTTAATTAGAATATCATCAAATGCAAATATTATTTCTATTTCTCGTAACAGTTCCTCAACGAGCTTACAAGTAATAAAGAGCTTACAATATTTATACATATACTCTTAACAAATTAACTATCCCAGATTCGTTATACCAAGCGAGAATATAGCATCCAAATTATTTTTTTCAGTGAATTATTTTGCGTTGAAAAACATATATATCTTTTTGATGTAAAAGATCGGGGACTCTTTAGACATCATTCGAGTCTCGCCGAATTTAAAAATGTCGATGTAATCGAACTAAAATGTGCTTCGGAAGGTGGGCAATTGAATGAAGTGCATACATGCGAGAAGTTAACGTTCCCATGCTAACATACGTATTACCTTGCGATGATGTATAACAAATACTAATAGAATAGATAATTTTTATCTCAACTTTAGGCCCTTTCGTGTTTAATACTACGAATTGGAAAATACCATTTATTTTTATGACATTTAGTAAAGAACGTATAAATTGGCATTACAGTGTGATTGGAATCAGTGCGGCCCCATACCTATGTACGTGGGAATCTATTTATTTTCCAAATTTTTAGGCAAAGATCAAATGAAACTGCTGCTTACCTAACGTCGAACGTTCATACGTAGACCTTTCTCGATATTTGTTATAATTCCAGGCATGCAATTTAAAAGCAAATAATAAATAAATGTCTCGTGTCAATTTATCAAAAGTTTTCTATACCTTGTTATATGTAACATTTTTATATGTAACGTATTGTTTAAAAAACATTCTTTTTAGCGGCCATTAGTTTTTCAAAATTATTCTTTACTTGTAAACCGTGTACAAATTTTTTGCTTTAGCGTTAAAGAGAAGGGTTAATAAACTTTTAATGTGTCTGTTATAAATTTTTTATTACGCACATAAAAAAACCTAAAATATGTTATGCTTGTAGTAGCCCTCGAAATCATGAATATTAATAATAATGAAGATGATGATAATGACGATGGTAATGATGATGATAAAAATAGTGAATAGTGAAAAAAAACATGTTGTTCCTTGTTTTCCCCTCTCTATGACAGCTGTTCATGTAGTTTTACTTATTTTACAATGTTTTTATTTTGTTTTCTCGTATATAAGTGTCTGCAAGTGGCAACGAATGTTACTGAGCAGAAGCATAATGTTACTCGAGAAATTAGAGGGAGAAATCTAGGTTTATGCCGTGGCTTTCGTGGTTGTACCGTTTGGTTAACTGGCCTCAGCGGTGCGGGTAAGACCACAATTGCCTTCGAATTGGAAGCATATCTTGTATCGCGTGGTATACCTGCGTATGGACTGGATGGCGATAACATACGAACTGGATTAAATAAAAACTTGGGGTTTACACCGCCCGATCGCGAGGAGAATATTCGCCGTGTTGGAGAAGTCGCTAAACTATTTGCGGACAGTGGTGTAGTAGCCATTTGCAGTTTTGTTTCACCTTTTACCTACGATCGAAAAATGGCTCGCAAAATCCATGAGGACTCCGATCTGAAATTTTATGAAATTTTTGTTAACACTCCTTTATCAGTCTGCGAGTCACGCGATGTTAAAGGATTGTATAAAAAAGCACGCGAAGGCGCCATAGAAGGTTTCACCGGCATTACGCAGGAATACGAAGAACCCACAGATCCTGAACTTATTGTTAGTACAGATGGATTTACAGTCAAGGAGTCGACACAGAGCGTTATCGATTTACTCGAGACCGAGGGTATCATTCCAAAAACGTTAAAAGATGTTGGAAGACTACCCGAATTATTTGTAAAACCTGAACACAAAGATGCTCTTATACATGAAGCAAAATCGTTACTTAGCCTATCAATTACCACTGTGGATGTACAATGGGTACAAATTTTAGCAGAAGGCTGGGCTTATCCATTGAAGGGTTTCATGCGCGAGGAAGAATATTTGCAGACTTTGCATTTCAATTCTATTCTCAGCCATGATGGTGCCTCCCGTCATAACCAATCAATACCGATAGTTTTGCCACTGTCAAATGAAGCTAAAGAAAGATTGGCCGACCAATCATCGTTAGCGCTTACTTACAATAATAAACTTGTGGCGATATTACGCAAACCTGAGTTTTACCATCACCGTAAAGAGGAACGTGTATGTAGGCAATTCGGCACAAATCACCCTGATCATCCGTACATAAAGGTACTAATTTTTTTCTATCTCATTGATAAGTGAAAAATGAATTTTTTTCTGTAGATGATTCTAGAATCGGGTGATTATTTAGTCGGTGGTAATTTAGAAGTGCTCGAACGTATACAATGGCAGGATGGTTTAGATGAATATCGCTTAACGCCAAACGAACTGCGAAAAAAATTCAGAGAAATGAATGCCGATGCGGTGTTTGCATTTCAAGTAGAAAAATAATTACTATAATTATAATAGCTTCTCTAATTATTATTTCCTCCTGAATTTTTTATAGTTACGTAATCCAATACACAATGGACATGCTTTATTAATGCAAGATACTAAGCGGCAGCTGTTGGAACGTGGATTTGAAAAACCTGTGCTACTATTGCACCCTCTTGGTGGATGGACCAAAGATGATGACGTCCCTTTGCCAATTCGAATGGCACAACACCAGGCAGTACTTGACTCGGGTGTGCTTAAACGAGAAGATACTGTCTTGGCAATATTCCCTTCACCGATGATGTATGCTGGACCGACAGAAGTACAATGGCATGCTAAGGCACGAATGAATGCTGGTGCCAATTTCTACATAGTAGGCAGAGATCCAGCCGGTATGCCCCATCCCAATAAACAAATGTACCACGATGGGAACTTGTACGACGGAACGCATGGCTCACGTGTTCTCAAATTAGCTCAAGGATTGGATAATTTAGAGGTATGCTTGCATGAACGTCGTTGAGATTTACGTGTATTGTCTATTTTCATATCTTAATATATTTATAGATTCTGCCCTTTCGCGTAGCAGCTTACGATCGAAGTTTGGCATGCATGGCTTTCTTCGAACCGAAACGTAAAGAAAATTTTGAGTTCATATCTGGCACAAAAATGCGCACACTAGCCAAAACTGGCTCCAATCCTCCAATTGGCTTTATGGAACCAAAGGCTTGGCAAATTTTGGCAGAATATTATAAATCAGTAGTACAAAATTAACTGTGAAACCCCCCTTTGTTCAAAAAAAAAAAAAAAAAAAAACTGCTCTAAATAGAGTTCAGTACTGTCAAACCAAATAGTGCATTTTCCTGCAAATTCTAACGTCTTAACATTTTTGTTACTTTTGCATTGCTAAGATCACCACACTTGTCGTTTACATTACTTTTATTTAACTAACATTGTTTCAATTTATTTTTTGCCTTTTATTCGCCTTTACGAAGACAATGGCTTTTATTGCATCTATTGGACAATAAATATTGTTATTTTCCTGTTCATTATCTTGTGGATCAAAGCAATTGAATTTATGTTATGTTTGTTTATGTATTTTGCACACATAATATACTTATAAATATATATATATATATGTATATATTTATATAGATATAAACATATATAGATATACAATTTTAGGATATAAAGTGATTCGGTCGAATCTTCAGTTGACCAATTTTCAAATGAAAAATCCATTTCTTTTTATAATATTTTTGTAAAAGTTGTATTTGTATATATTGCAATTTTAATATCTCCTGTTTTCAATATCAAATTGTTGCTGTGAATATATTCTGTATTATTTTTACTCTTTTATTAAAACAAATAATAATAATAATCGATAATTTCGTTTGCTTCAATTTTAATGTAAATAAATTCAAATCAACGGAAAAGAAAACCATATATGCATGACGACGAATGTGGTACGATACATATTATCATATAAAGATTCGTAAAATAATTAAACAGCGTACTATATGAGTTATATTATATGTAAATATTTAAAAATTTTTTGGCAAATTTTGAATATGTTATTGCACGAAAGTGCCATGTCCCGTTGATTCGAATTGCATTGCCTTTTTCTAGTGCCAGCTGCGAGGCCTTAACACCGATCGAAGCAGTCTTTGAATACAACCGATAAGTAAGCTCATCAAATCTCAAATCATTGTTGTTGTATAATATTAGCTAAAGAATATTTGACACTTTATAAAAAATTTTCAGTCTTTCACTTATTGCAGAAAATTTCGTCCTATTCTCTTCGTTGGTATACGTTGAAGGAAGTCCATAAAATAACATTAAATGCATTATAATTCATTGACAGACAGGCATCGGCTTATGCCAAGCTCACCAAGAACGCGCCGAAGAACAAACGTAACAAACTTGATATTTGGGAAGAGAAAATAAGTGATTTCAAATTTTCTTGCTCAGTATAAAATACACTCAAATAAGACCAACTTTCATAAAACGACAAGAAAGAAATCAAAACGTATAAAATTTATTAAAAAAATTATTTTTAAAAAACTTAATACGTTCTATGCTTTTAAACTATTTGCAATTGAGTACGACCTATAAGAATATGTTGAAAAGTTTTTACAAATTTTATAAAACTCCTCACCTTGGGTTTGATAGAGCTGTTGAAGAACTAATTTCGTTGCTATGAAAGATATAGCAAAAACATGAAAATTCCTAAAAGCTAATGCAAGTAATACCAAGGAAATATACGGGAACAATTGTTGCTTGTTCTAAATTTTTTAAATCGAAGTGAAATGATTTGTAAGGAAATAGTCTCTTATGAAGCCAGCAGCAAGATTCTGCTCATATTTTAGGAAAATTGAAAATTCGGTGTGGCAAAAACAAACAACGGTCTATGCTAACTACAAAAAAATCTATTTTTGGTGGATCATCGTAAGAATAGAAGCCTTCTTTGAATAGACATGTAAGTAATCGGATTGCCTTATCGTGATTAATCATGACATCATGACATTTAGCATATTGCGTTCATTTTTCGTCCCAATTGTATGCATTGTAATTACGCCCGTTCGAAAGCAATGATTTTATTTGATTGGGAAAAAAAATCATAGTGCGCCTCACTCAGCCGACCCCTCCATAAATCGGCCCCGCCACGATTATTCAGTTTAATACACGATGTAAAATGATGCGCCTATCAATTGATGACTCGCCTTGAATAACGAAGTAGAAAAAATCGCACATCTCGCAAATGACGTTTTTTTGGCATATAACTTGACATGCCCCAACATTCTGCATTCCTTTTGTTATAACTTATGCCATTACGCAAAGCTTGAAGAAAGTACATTCAGAGGAAAAAGTTACAGTTCTATTCACTACCGCCCACTCTCAGAAAAAAACTATAACTTTTTTAATATCGCAATAGTATTGAAAGGAAAGATGTGGCTAAAGAAGTTAAACGATAAATTTATAAATAAGTATTTCGTCTTTACATTGAATGTTGGCTTTGTAAATAAGCGACGTTTTGAAACCGCCAATAGAGAAGGTAAACGTCTAAAAATTGTCATTCACTGGTGGTGGCTGAAAATAATTTTGAAAAACCAAGAAGAACTTTGTAACAATATATTTGCGAAAGGGATTAGGCGAAATGTAAGGAAAAAGAAGTTATTGCTTAAACGCGCGCACGCGCTCATATGTTGTCTTACGATATTTCTTTATTATTTCTTTTTATGTATAAAAAAGCTAAATAAAAAATTTATATTAAAAAATGAAATTGCGAGATAAAATACAATAAGGATTAATATAAAATACATACGAGATACTGTTAAAAAACTACATCAGCAAGAAAAGGAACTATACAGATACAATAAAATTTATTTTTCATGTCAATCGAAATATTTACAATTCAAGTTTTAATATAGAAGGAGAAAGAGAGCTTCATATGCTTTAGAGTAAATCCTGATTGCCCAACACCTCAACTAAAAGTTTGAAACTGATCATCTTTTCAACGACTTATTAGATGATTAGATGCGAGCTTTTTTCAACAAAATTATAAATAGTACCGCCCTTGCTAAGTATTATCATTCAACATAATACGTCTTTGAAGACGTCAAGAACTAATAGTTTAACAAACTAAAAATTTCCAGCAAATACATACTTTAACTTTTCAATAATTTCTACATCCAACTGTTAACCAATGGAATGATGAAGCCTGTGTTCTCTTTTAGCTGTACTTATAAAAATACGTTATTAGCGGACATGGATCATAAACTCCCCAAATTAAACAAATTTGCATTTTTATCGCCATTAATATACCAAATAAATAAGAAATTTATGCTCGTCTTGGACCGAAGTCCAAATATCCATGGAAGCTGACTATAGCAATGTATTTCCTTTTCATTGGATTTATGTCAAATATTTGTATCTTCTCTAAAATCCCTTTTTCTTGCTGACATTTTTTATGTTTTTTGTTACATTTACTATAAATGTGACGCTTTATGTTTACGTATGTGAAGTTATGGGATGTGTGTAAATTCTCTTATTCATTAAACTTTTAATTTTATTTTCTTCTCACCTAAATAATATTTTCTTTCCTTTTAATATTTGTATGCCTATGTTATTATTTTCGAATATTTATTATAATTTTATGCATATTTGAATTTCTTTCTTCACTAACTGTATTTTATATCAACTTTTTTGTCAAAATCGCTTTTATCCTTCTTGCTTGTTCTTCTATTCTCAATATTACAATTATAAATTTTATTTACTTTTTTTTTTTTCTTCTTCATTCTTATTTTATTTAATGTATTTGATTAGTTGTTTTAAATATTATTTTTATATTTTCATCGTTATTTTTACATAGAAATTTTTAATGATCTTGTTTCGCTTAACAAGAGGAAAGAAAACTACATTCATCATTGTATTTACCTCGTCAAAGTAGACTGCACCTTGACAACCAGCTATCTGTTTTTCTGTGTTCATTAAGTTTTAGTTGATGACCGCCTTTAGGGGGATTATTTGCCTCCTAAGCGTTTGATATAAACAAAATTTATCATAGAATTAAAACAAAGAATATAATTCTCTATATACCATTCGTTTTTCCATTTTTGCTTTAATATCACTAGCCAAAGTTAGAAAAGCCTCCTCAACGTTGATGCTAGCTTTAGCAGAGGTCTCCATAAATTTAATACCATATTCGACAGCCAATTGTTCACCACGTTCTCGAGAAACCTACAAAAGTATTGATTTCTAATAATGAAACAATAAATATTTAATTTATAACTATCTCGAGCTTACTTGTCTTTTTTCATTTAGTTCACATTTGTTGCCTAAAAGCATTTTCTCTACATCGGCAGAAGCGTTTTCCTCGATATTACGTATCCAGTTTTTGATATTTTCAAAGGATTTTTCTTGAGTTATATCGTAGACCAACATAATACCCATGGCACCTCTGTAATAAGCGGTGGTAATTGTTCTGAAACGCTCCTGACCAGCAGTATCCCTAGATGACAAAATACAACATTTTACATATTTTCGAAATGAAATAAATTCCATTTAATACAAACCATATTTGCAATTTAATTTTTTTACCGTCTAATTCGATAGTTCGTATTTTAAAATCTATGCCTGAAAGGGAATTGAGAATAAGTAACATAAAAGAAGAAAAATGAAGAAATGTATTAGCATAAATATTAATTTATATGCTTGGTTTCCCATTGAAGCAATGTTAAGCAACCAAGAAAAAAAGAGTAGACTCTCATTTTTATGGCGCCAAAAGAACTGCACTATTCTTTATCCCAATTCAAGTAACATATTCTGACGAAATTAGTAAACCTTGAAACTGCGTTTAAAAAGACGTATGTGATTGCAAATTTGATTCCTTTTTTCCATCAACATTTGTGCATTTTATAAAAACCAATTTTTCATTCCTTCTTCGTTTTTCATACTTTGTAATTTCAATTATAAGTGAAGTATCGCCAAATTTTATAAGCTTACATATTCATATAACGCGCGGCATATTAACAAATTCACATTTTATTTTGTAATCAAATATCGCACACATGCGATATATTCTACACGTAATGACAAGCACGATATCATATTGTGTTAAGATTCTACTCCGTTCCAATGACACAAAGCCGAGGTAAGTTTTAAAAACGCCAATAAAACTCGATCGTAACTTTTCTTCCTTCTAGAAATACATTTTATTCTTGAAGAGAACCTGCATCCCCAAATGTGCATATGTATGGAACGTACACTCGGCATGCTATAATAATGCATATATAAATTGCATAATCTAAATAAATGGCCCGCGCACTGCTACGATCATAAATAACCAATGCGCAATGGACGCACGAACTCTTCAACCCGAGCAATGTTCTTAACGCAGTTCAAGAAGACACGCAATGTAGATTACTACAAGCATAAAACGAAAACGTACTAACTTGATGAATCCACAAATTTATTTAAAGAATTTTTCATTTATTTGATGAACAAACATTATGGCAAATTTTTAAGGGTGTTATCGCCATTTCAATAAAAAAATGTTCAAGCCTACATCGATACCGTTATTCACACTAATTACAAATATATATATTGTATATACATGCATATATAAGTTGCGGTGTGTATTGTAGAAAAAATTTGACAACCTTTTTAAACCGCTTGTGATTGGGGATATAATGTTTTACTTCAAAATCTTTATCACTATATTTTGTTTACATCATTACAAAAAAGAAGGGGAAATTAAGATTGCTTGAACACATCTGCAACTAGGAATACATTCATTTGGTTGTGCTAGGGGCGCTAAAGTATTCGCAACCTATTTAATTGTACACACACCATTAGGTGTTTCTCTAGGTACATATGTACGGATAAACTGAAATGCGAGAAAATGCGTAACAAATAATACCAAAGCGATCAAAATTGGGCAAACTATATATACATATATATACCATTAAAATGCAAACATGTTGATTTAAATACACAATGGTATAAATGTGCATAGCTAACCATCTTATTGCCACTTAATGGTAACTTACGTATCAGTCGTACGCTTTGAAATAATGAATATTTTAAAAAGGCGGAGTGTTTACATATTTCCTATGTACGTATAATTTATTTAATAAATACTTCTTTTCAATTTAAGTCCAACGAACACGATTTGTTATATTGTTTTGCGTTATGAGTCATTTATAATTTTTTTAAAGCGAAATCAGACAATGAAGAAATACAAGCTATTAGAAACCAACAAAAAAAATAACAAAGTGTATGACTTCTCATCGAAATAAAGTTTTAAAATTTTTTCCTATTTCGTATAAACTCTATCATTACGATCAATGAAAATAACTCATACTTTCTTGATTGAAAAATAACATAAGTTAATATTGATAGGACGACTGGTTTTATACTAACGTGAATGCCACCATTGATCCCAAAACCATCATTATCTGATTCTTCTTAGTCCTTTCTTTTTTTATCGCGTATCGTTAAACATTTGCACGCACGAAATATATTAGGAAAAGCCCATCTAATATGAATCTGCATAACTGCAGACTTTCCAATTATATTTTATTCTTAGAAAGTGGAAAGATCCTGTTTTTTGAAAAGTTAGTACGAAGATTGCACACCAAGCTTATCACATTCACACACTTGAACTTACTCCTAAAAATTTTTTTTTGTACGACGTACATTCACTCACTCACCTATTGTCGATATAAATGTCGTATTAAAGGCATCCTCCGAAAAACGAAATAAAATGCAAGTTTTTCCCACACCAGAATCACCAATCAATAATAATTTAAAAAGATAATCGTAAGTTTTGGCCATTGTTGCGCTTTTGCATACAATTATATTAATATAACAATCTCGGAAACTCTTGTTATAATAGTTTTCATAAACTTTTCTTTATTTTTTTCTTCAAATCAATTTATATTCCCCTACTTAAAAATCGCTGATGACAAAATCATAAAGATGTCCATTATATTTTCGATTACTTAGTGATGGTAACATTAAAATATCAATACTCGCTGTTGTAAAAAATATTTGTAGAATTGATATGTAAAAAACAAATGGGAACAGAATGAAAATTGAATTAAAAATAACAATTATAATTGAGGTGAGAAGCAATTATTTCATCCTGGGTTATAGAAATATTCAAAAGAAAGATTTTTAAATCCCTTATACTTTAATCTGTTAAATTCACATCAAATATATTAAATTTTTATTTACAAATTAATTTCCAATTAATAATAGTTTTAAAAATATTTCTTTTGAATATTTCTATAACCCAGGATGAAATAATTGC